GTGTGTGTGTGTGTGTGTGTGTGTGTTTTTAAATCCATACTTTAAAATTACAAACATATGTGCCTCTGAATAGAATTTATATCTGTACTCCTCAATTTGTAAATGCAATTTCCTCATTTTCTAAATACTGTGTAATTGTGGGTTTTATTTCCGCTTTGACCAACTACAGTTGATCCTTGAAAGTCACAGGTGTGAACTGCACTGGTCCACTAATACATGATTTTTTTCAATAAACACAGTTGGCCCTTTCTATTTGTTGGTTTTGCATCAGCAGATTCTACTAACTGTGGATTAAAAATAGTACTTTTGACCCACAGTTAGGAATCCAAGAATGCAGTGGGCTTACTGTATGTGTAATTGTATGTCATTTTATATAAAGGATTTGAGCATCCACTGATTTTGGTGTCTGCAGGGGTCATGAAGCAGTCACTATGGATTTCAAGGGCCAACTGTAGTTAAATTTGGGGGAAGTCATAAAAGTTATATGTATAAATGTACCACAATTTTTTATCCACTCATCTACTGATGGGCACTTGGGCTGCTTCCAAATCTTGGCTATTGTAAATAACACTGCAGTGAACACAGGGTGTATATATTCTTTTGAATTAGTTTTGGGTTTCTTTTAAAATGAACAAATAACTCTAGCTGAACAAGAAATATTTGGGGAACTTCTGAATAAGTCCAAATATTTTGTGTGTTACATTACCTCAATGATCTAAACTCATTATTAACTAGCTGGTTATAGCATTAAAGTGTTTAGGGTTCATTGTGAGTATTAACAAATGTCACTTACTGTTCCCCAGACTCTTTATGTGGCACATTCTTTCTCATGTTGTTAACCTTCCTATCCACCCAACCTAAGATTTGGAGAAGTTTAGTTAGTTCCATTCTAGACCTAAAGTGTTCTCTCTATCTCCTTTGCAAGGATACTCATGATTTCAATCAGCTACTAGAAATGTCAGGTGAAAAATGGCACAAATGTGAATTATGACAATAAAAGTTTATAAGCTACTAAAATAAAATTATAGTACCTAAGAGCTGAGTCAACTGACAATGTTAAATGGAACATTTTACAACCCGTCCTGGGATAATGATAAAAAGAAAAAAAGTAGCACACAGAACATGAAGAAATATCTGACAGGAAATGGGCCAAGATCAAGCTCAGGCTACATGACTTTGGATGAGCTACCTTAAAAGTCAGGATGGGGAGGAGGTAATGTAATGTTTATGGAGTGTTTCTTCTGTGTCCAACTGTTGACATCTATTATCTCTTTTACTTCTCATACCAGCTGGTGAGAGGGCTATTGCTGTCATTTTAGAGAACAGAAATCGAGGCTAAAGTGGTAGAGTTAGACAAATGCCCAACAACAAAATTGTTACATAATAGAGACAATGTTTGACATCAAAAGTCTCTCTGACGCCAAAGCCCATGCTCTTTCTATAGCTTTTTGTACCCAATGCTATCGCTTTGTGTAGCTAGATCTCTATATAAATAGAGCAAATTTTAGGTTTTATAAAGAATCTTTCTTTCCAACTTGATGCTAATGTTTGTTCCTCACTATCAATTCAGGTGAGGGTGCTCTTTACCATGAAGCTTACCATGTAAATTAGCTACACAGAGACTGTTAAATTATAGCTAAATAAGGCAAAAAATATAGTGCTAGCATGAAGATTAGCATTAGGAAGAAAGCTAAACTCTAAAAATGATACTTAAGGAGGAATATAAGAGTGTTTTCAGGCATTTGAATAGGTGATATGGCAATCTTTCTTCTTATTTTTAAATAACTCCATTCATAGAATATTTTGCGTTACTCACAAATTTCCATTGTCTTTTCTCTAACCTTTCTAATTAGTCATCCTTCTGTCACCCCACATGCCCATAATACCAAGCCACAGTGCTTCTCGTCTGTGCCCACCACAGTACCCCCGATGACAGACACAAGCATACTGGCATGCCCAGGGAAATCTGGTGCTGCCTCCCAATAGGCTAGTATTTGCTGTAATTGCACAATTTCTTAGAAATATTACGTTTTACCTTTAAAGATCTTACAGAATTTATATTCTTTTCTCTCATCTTACTTTGTTATAAAGACAGTCTTTTCAATTACTTACCGTAGACCAAAATTCATGCTCCAGGAAGAATTAATGTCATGTTAATTCTGAGGCATCGCATACTCTGTGAAAACTCCTCTTACTCTAGCCAGAGAAACACAGTGATAAAATGATATAATCATATGACATGCAAAGTGCTGATGTGAAATGGAAAGGGCAGAAATATGATTGGGATATTAATTCAAGAGAAATAAGAAAATAGGACTGTTTAAATAGGCTTAGCAGGATGGATTAGTTCTTTCTGAAAATATGTGTGGTGTTATCTCAGCTTATCTTGACTTCCACCCCCAACTCTCCCCATTTAAGTGCAATAAAATGTTTAGTTTCTACACACACAGAGACACACGCACACACACACACACACATTTAGAGGGCTACAAAATATTCAATAGCCAGACACAGAGGGAAACATTCATTGAAACTGCTCCTGAATATCAGATGAAGGCATCATGTCAATATAGCAATAAAACCATAAATTTTTATTGTAATGGAACACAAATTAATAAAATGGGAAAGTAGAACTTACAAAATAGCTTTAAACTCAATACCGCATTTCATTTATAGGTCCAAGATTATAATGGACAAAAGCTAACGTTCATGGTTGATCCATAATAATAGTCATTGAGAAGTTAAATGACAGAGGAGAAACAGCTTTAAATGGGAAGTGGCACAATTAATCACAACTGTCATACTTATGCACTTGCTGACTATCAACCTTGAACAGAGCATTTAATTCAAATCCCATTTAAAAGTATGCACTGTCAAGGGAGAGGCCAAGAACCATTTTCTAGTTCAGGAAGCAACCCACAGTCCATGTGCCAAACATGGCACTGAAAATCAAGTCTATTGGCATATAGACTGATTGCTCTGATCCTACACCCTCTTCACAACCCATTGCAGGAGCTGCTCCTATTAAAAAAAAAAAAAAAAAAAAAAAAACAGCCAGAAATCTCGGCATCTGACTTTTCAAAGATGATCTATTTCTTTTCTCATAATGCATAACATTATTTGGAAATACTCTGCACGTGCAGAACTCAATTGAAGTTCTCTCTCTGAAGAGAGATTTTGCCTTTTAAACACCCTTTTAAACATTCTGAAATACTACATATTTGTAATATATTTGTTAATACTAAGATCCCATTGCTGTTTTAAAAGCATCACATAAAAATAACTGTTGAATATATAATATAATACATTGTTAAATAATGTGTTGATGAGGTGTTGAATAATATCTCAAAACTCACTGAAGAGAAATTGAGTGTGTGTAGAGACAGAGATGATATACAGATATAGATAATGATAGAGATAGATATAAATAGATGATACAGATATGGGTATAGCTAGAGAGAGATGATATACAGATATAGATAATGATAGAGATAGATACAAATAGATGATACAGATATGGGTATAGCTAGAGAGAGATGATATACANNGAGAGAGAGATGACAGAGATAGGTAGATAGGTAGAGATACAGGGATAGAGATAGAGATTTGGACATACAATGAGAGAGAGAGTTATAGCAAAGATCCAAAGCAAAAGTCAAAACTTAGGAGCAAAGTAAAAATAGTTACCTTGAATCCTAAATACTTTCATCTATACTTATATAATAGTTTCATATATGCCTGTTCAACACCAGAAGGAAGTATTTAGAAGTATTAAATGGAAGGAATTACTCATCAGTTCAAGAAAACATCTTCCTGTCAACCAGACTGCAAGTAATTTGACAAATATTATAATTAAGGTAATGCTAGATTTATCTAAGTTGTCAAAATAATGTAACATCTGGCATCTATACATATTAGCTCACTAAGCTCACAATGAGCATATGCAACACAGACTACCTGGTCAAGGCAAATATTTGTCATTCATTTAATGTGTATTTACTAAACAATCCCTATGAGCCGGCCACTGTTCTACATACTAGAAATTAATAAGACAAACACGGTTCCTGCAAATTAATAGGGTAATCAGGGTTACTCTTACAGCCCAGTTCTTCTGACACCTACACTGTGTTATGCAAATTAAGTTTTTCTGACCTTGGGTGCCCTGCTTGTCATTTTACTGTTATTTACAGAATTAAATAAATTTTGACAATGAGTTTCAGATGAGGCTTTTTTGCTTTGTAGATATTATTGAAGCAAGCCAAGCTCTATGAATCGGGGAATGATAAAATATTCACAGAAACGTACAATTCTGCTGTTGAATAACAATTACACTTATTCCAAACAGGCAATTGGTTTCCAAACACATTAAACAAAGGCGATTTAGAGAGCTTCTTCTTCTTCTTGGCATCATTAACGTTGTTGAACGCCCTGGGATTCTGGAGTATTTCACAAAGGCAAGTGTGTGTGTGGTAAGATGAACAATTTCTGAGTTCATGAAATATTGACCTGAGAACCATCACTGAGCCAACAGGAACCCTGCATGCCATGACAAGTTAGCATATTAGAGAAATTTAACAGATTATTCAGAGCCAGAAATTTCCATTTAGACTTCACTTTTTTCACCAATCCTTATAATAAAAACAGTGCTTTACTTGCTTCTAAAGCAAGCTTTTTTTCTCCGTTACGTAGTACCAGTTTAGAATTAGAAATAACCATATTGGTAATAAAATGAATGAATCATTATCATTAAAAGCAAATATCATTAAATAAATAGCTAGAAATCTAATGATGCTTAAGATTTCTATTCCATTCTGGCCTTTAAATCAGCAGTGACCATTTCAAGGTCAATAACAAACTGGGCAAAATCATTTAGCCAGTCACCTGAGACCATTTAATGGCTTAATATGTTTTGTCTACCATCCAGCCATTGCCAGTGCACCTCTTCCCCTCTCTCTGTCTCTCTGTCTCTCTGTCTCTCTTTCTCTCTGACATATTCTTGGATGGCTGTGTGCTTTTGAGCAAACTGCCTAACCTCTCTGAGCCTCTGTTTTCACACATGTAAAAATAAAGACAATAATACCAACCACTTATGGGCTTTGGGGAGATAAATTTTAATAAAGGGTCAAGCATAATATCTGCCACATGGTGGGAACAAAACAGATCTTCATTTTTCTCAGTTCCCTCCATTCGCTTCCTCTTTAGTTGTGTTTATCCCATCCATTGCCACTTCTCCCTTGCCTACATCATTCTTTTACTCACCTAATAAGTTTCTTTTGGAACATCAGTCATGTGATAGGTACTATAGTCAACTAAAAGGATAAAATGTCAGTAAGTCAGTAATGCAGAGTGCTACCTACGCTTATGTTCCAGCATACGAGAGAGGCAAGATGAATGACAAAATCATACAGAGGATGTACCACAGAATTTTACATTTGGACATATGTAATTTTATTAACTCCAATAAATGAAACCGCAATAAATTTAATTAAAATAAATAAAGAGGCAGAAATCAAATGAAAAAAAGTCTTAATGGCTACGTGAGTTTTATCACTTCTTACCATCCAAAATGTATTTTATCAAATTGACCCTCCACAATGTATAATTTCCCTAAAATGTCTATTTCATTCTTAGGTTGAAAATAAAATTAGAAAATCAGAGTCTTGCAGAAGGATCCAGCAAGAATGTCCTCAGCTTTGTAGTAAAAATAGAGTCAGCAACAAAAACTGAAGCTGAAGCACGGGCTCTTTCCCCTCCATCCATTGCCTCCAAACACAGAGCTGGTGCCCATCTGCCAGTTCTCACAAGCCTGTACTATTTCTCAATTTTCGCTTTTTCTCCCACTGTAAGATTTGACCCTTGTCTTTTTTTGCAGTAGTTTAAAAGGCAATCTCTAGAGTCAGCCCAGCTGAATTCAGTCCCACCACTTAGCTGTACTAAGTTCAGCCAGCTGTTCGGCCCTGCTAACCCTCAGTTTTTTCATTTGTAAAATGGAAACAATAAGAATAGCAATTGTGGCATAAAGTTGTGAGCATGAGTAAGTACTCAGAGAGTTGGCAGTATTAATAATAATGGCCTCACACTTTGCCTTATGCTCCCTCCTTCCTACTTTTTATTCTTCTAGACTTGTGCTGAGGTGTTACCAAGACGACCATGGTTAGGAGCTGAGTTCAGGTAGAACTAGCACTGCAACCAGAAAAAGCAGAAGCTATTAGCTCAGGGACTTACTCAGTCACTTATTCATTCAACCAACATACTAAGCCTTGTCCCAGGAACTAGAAAAAAAGAATTGATAAAAGAAAAACACTAGTCTGCATGAAGCTAACATCTAGTGCTCAAATTAAAATATGTGTGACTCTTCCTCTGTGGTTGTCAAGCAGATGAGTTGTTAGTATAAAGAAGTGAGAGATGGTGGAGTGGGATGTAGAGGAGGCAAGAATAAAAATGCACAAAGCACCAGAATTGGAGAAACCAAAGATGAGAAGGGACTAAGTGATAATACAGTGTTTATTTAGAAATGAATCTGATTCTTACTAAATCTTATTTATCTCCTGTATACTCTCTTTTCTCTTTTTCTGCCTGCTTTTTAGGGGAAGGGGGAAAATAGGGGATAAGACAAGCAAGAAGGGAAAAAATTCATTTTACATATGCTGAGCACTGCTGTGTCTTAGCACGCTAGGTACACACAAGTAGCCTCGTGTAATCTTTACCACCTTCCTGCTCCACTGTATTTAACAAACCAAAGTCAGAGCCCTGGCCCCGTAGCTCAGCTGGCTAGAGCACTGTCTTGATACACCAAGGTTTAAGGGTTGATCTCTGGTTGGGGCACACACAAGAGTCAAAAAATGAATGCATAAATAGTGGAACAACAAATCAATGTCTCTGTCTCTCTCTCTCTCTCTCTAAAATCAATAATTTTTTAAAACTAAAGTAAGAATTAGATAAGTAAATTGAGTAAGTTTAGGCCCAAGTTTGTTTGTCTCTAAAGCCCATACACTTTCTCCTATATTCAGCTGCTTCTAAATTCCATAGAAGAGCCCTCTACCTGCTCTCTCTCTCTCTCTCTCTCTTTCTCTCTCTCTCTCACACACACACACACACACACATACACAACTCCTTAACTATGTTAGGTAGGCAAGAAACCAGAAACCAGTCCCTTCAGTTAAAGTAACTACAACCACCATCATATGCTAATCAGCCACTCCCCAGGAAAAGAATTTCTTCTCATATAGTAGAAAGGAGAGTCTGGAAAATTTGCCTACAGAGATTAAGTAGCTAGAACCAACTACTAGAGCAAAGGCACACATTGCCTTGGGAATCTCTTGCCCATTGGGATCAAATGGGCTAACTCAGAAGAGTTAGACAAGAAACCGTATGGAATTTAAGGTGGGAAAATCAGTGACCTCAGGGAGGAGTGCATGATTCTGATTTATTTCTATACTGATTGTTATTGTCAAATACTAACAAACAGCAAGTATACAAAGAAACAGGAGAAAACACAGGTGTCACGGGGACAGCATTATTGAAACATATTATTTATGAGTCAGATAGTGTTTGTTCAAAGTACACATCCAATCACAATCCAATTTTTACCAAACCCAAAGGTGTTCAGAGCCAGATAACAGTGGCACATCTATCAAGAACAGGACAGTCCCAAGCTATTCTTGTCCCCAGGATCTTGATGATAGTGGATTAATTATGAAATAGCATCCTCCTCAATATACAGGTGTCATTAGGTCTGTGTTAGCACTAGAAGGCACCCCCAACCCCCACCAAGTTTATATTAGTGTGATGCAATCCTGGCATAAATTCTAAAACCATCCTAATCTTGTCAGGGAGTGACAGATCACCTGAGTACAATTAGGAATTAGCCATGAATGTCAGGCCAGGCTTACTTTTTATTTGTACAAAAAAACAACAAACAAAAACACAAGAGCTCCCTGACTTTGTATAGAGTCCTCCTCAATCAAATCTGAAATAGGGCAATAGTGACATGTCATACCTAAGGCTCTCCAGGTTGTAAGTAAAATAAATAGGCAGGAAAAAAATGTATTTTTCTTGACAAAAAGTATTAGATAACCATCTCCCTAGTACTTAATATAAATACATATCCCTCACTGGATGCCAATATTAAAAGGTATTATAGCCCGGCCTGCGTGGCTCCCTGCTAAGCTTCCACAAGATCACAGTTTGATTCCCAGTCAGGGCACATGCCCAGGTTGTGAGCTCGATCCCCAGTAGGGAGTGTGCAGGAGGCAGCCAATCAATGACCCTCTCTCATCACTGATGTTTCTCTCTTTCTCTCCCTCTCCCTTCCTCTCTCTGAAATCAATAAAAACATACTTCTAAATAAATAAATAAATTAATTAATTAATTAATTTAAAAAAATTGTGGATATTTCTGGGGGGAGGTGGCAAAAGGGTGTTAGCTTTATAACAATCCCCCTTGCTCTTCAATGTTGTAAAACACATCTTATCAAGTTGATATCTATCATTGCATTTATTTTGTCAATGATCCCAGTACTCTTTTGTGCATAACCTGTAACAGTAATTGAAAGCGACACAAGTCAGATACAAATGACCAGTTATTCATGCATGTTCTTCTTTTACAGTTATTTTTAGCAATATATTGAGAAGGAAAAGGAGGTTTGGAAACCTCCACAAGTCAAAAATAGATGTCTGAGCCCAGAAACTAATATGTTCTTGATAAAATTGAACTTAAAAGCCATATTTATTTGTTCATTCGACAAATGTATATTGGATATCTACTGTGTACCAGGAACTGGACAAGGCCCTAGGAATAAGCAGTGACTAAAGCAGTCTGAGATTCCTATTGTCCTGAGGCTTACTCAAAAGTGTTTAAGAAAATAGTTTGTCTTTAGAGGCAGCATTCCATAGAGGGAAAAGGCCAGGATTCCAAGTAGTAAGTGAGCTCTGATTCCAAACCCATCTTCTGCCAACTACTATTCACATGAACCTTAAGCAAGTTATCTCACCTCGTAGAACTTCAGTTTCCCTACCTGTGAAATGGGATGATTCCATCTTTCCAGGGCTGTAGAATTCAATAAGTCGGGGTGGGTGTAGTACATAGTGCCCTAGCATGATACTTGGCACTTAGAAGACACTCAGGAAAACCAGGTTTTTCTTGGGTCAAGGCAGAGGGTACACATTCTAGAAATATATTCATGGATTTCTTCTTCGACAATGATGTTCTCCACATAGTCTCAGCACCAACTTTACAAATCCCCACTGCGTCTGGTGCACCTTTCCTGAGTCCTGGCCACCATGAAATCTGTGAAGTTGACAGAATTTGAGACTTCACTTTCTCACTGCATGCTGTGAAACAGCACCATCTAAAGGTACTCATGAGACACCTTCATATGCACTAAACCTCCTGGTGTTTGGGTGAGCAGGGCTCTTAAATAATCATCACTGTTGTGCCAGTATCTATGGGCCCGTAATAAAAGGTAGACAAGCGCAGGAGGAAAGCAAATGATTTATCAAGTCATCTACATCTGGTCCTAAAAAAGGCTTGCTTTCTTTCTTTTTCAGATATTGTAATCTAAATCATTTTAATGTCCAGAACATCAGTGGAAGTCATCTTGAAGAAACACTTCTCCTCCATGAAAAGTCTCTGAAATTTTATGGCAGTACGCAGGAATTTTCTTCAAGTATTGATCTTTGGGAGACAGCCCTATGAAACTATATTTGACTTCACCCGTCTTATGAGCAAAGTATTCATTGTTTTCTTCATCTGAACGCTTTATGCATTTTAGTTTGCACTGATGTGTATGGGAGTGGCTTTATGAATACTATTTGTGTGCTATATTTACAAAAACTAATTATGACACTAATAAACTAGTATGCTTTTGCACTTATATGCTGTGCATTAGAATTAATAAAGTAATTTCAAAATCTAGGTGATTACAACAAAATGACAGTTTTCTATACATCACAATATTTTACAACTGTTTACAATGGTTAGGCCATTAAAAGCAACATGTGGTATTTTTTGGAGTTTTAATGTGCCATTAGAATCAAAATAACAGTATGTTATAGTCTTCCTTTTAATATATTTATTGAGCACTTATTATATGCTGGGCATTGTGATATTATCAATGTCTGAACAAATAGTAAATCTTCTTATGATTTTACTATATTTGATCTTGATGTTACACTATCAAGAAATGAACTAAGGAAATTTTCTCAGAATTGAAAAGCAATGTTACTAAAATAGAGGACCTTAACGAAGAGCAGATATCCACATGCTGAAGAAGTTGTAAAATAAGTGTAAATGATGGAATTACTGATACTAAAGGAAAGAAGGGAATTAAAGAAGGTTAAATGAGAGCAGAGTAGTCAAATGAAATAGAGATGCTTAAGTGATCCCCTAACCCAAATGACATCTTTGGGTCACCACTGTTACCAATTCAAACACATTCAGAAAACTGTCTTCCAAACAAGATTTTTCCTGTATGAGCAAAAAATGTGGAAAGTTATTTTCTAAAAAAGTAAGTAAAACTAACATGCCATATCTTTGTCAAAGTTTGATGGAAGGCCACCTGCTTCAGGTGAACATTTTGGCCCCTACCACAGATTGCCTTAACCCCAATCTTTTTCCAGGAGTCAGTAGTTTGAACAAACACACCCAAATTATTCGTAAGCTCCCTAAAGTTTGAGCACCACTGCTTTCCAGGACAGTTCATGTTAGATAGGATAGGTGGGTTTGTCAGCTGATTGCAAATGATTCTGCAATTAAACACCCTCCCTTGTGTATGCCTAAATTATTTTAGATCTGTAGTATAAGAGATTTATTCATCTTGATTAGGTATGATATGCATTTTTAATTGCAAAAGAGCAGCTGTAAAGCACCAGGTGTTTCTCTTACTCAAACTCTAATTTGCTCATTGGCTTTTTTTGAGGACAAGTGAAAAAAAAAAAAAAATTAGCTCTTACAGACATCAGTTCTTGCCCTGTAACTTCTTCGAATCCTTCTCTTTGTAGCATTTGTTCTCTGACAAAACAGTGAGGGAAACCCCTGATATGCCTTAGACGCTTTCTTTGCTGCAAAAGGTTAAATGCCAAGTTTGCAATTTGAGTTTAACGAACACCCGAAAGATCAAGAAAACTTTAAACACCTCACTTCAGGACAAGGGAGAAGCTCTAACAGTCTCTCCCACCATTAGAAAAAGGATCTGTCTTATTGTGTTGTTTTTCCCTCCAAAAAAATGTGCCTTCCTCTCTTAGTTTCTACATCATAATAGAAAAAGGTGCTCATTATGCTTTCACTCGTCTTTAGAGATAAAAAGAGATCTACAGAATTATAAAGTGGACCCAAAGCAAACACTGAAAGAGCTTAGCATTCTCGCGTTGGGCTTGACACTCGTGATTAGCTAAATTGCAGTAACTAGACATGCTTCCGCTCCGAACGGGATGCATTCACACAGCAGTTTCTCCTCTAGTGCCTAGCAACATTATCATTGAGCACCTGGAATAGTTTAGGCATTAAGTGTAATTGGTTTTGCTTTACATAAATCTGTAGCTTTGTAAATAAGCGGAGCATTTCAGCTTCTATATAACACCAATTAACTTAAAGGGATGCGTTGTTTGCAGAAGCCTGCTGAGTCTCTACTGTATTTACCAGGGAATATGCTCAGTGGTGGGCAAGGTTCTGTGTCCCTGCCGTGTTCCATTTACCCCAGTCACTCGGTGCCAAGGGTCTGTACTCAGCCACTCATTTGCTCCATTTTTCAGTTGTGAAAGATTGGGAAAATGAAGCCTTTCCTAATAAGCACCTTCTGTGCTCTATTTCTGTCCATGATGGAGACCTGAAAGGCAAGGGATTTGCGATTGTTTTCTGTGACCCAGAGAGCACAGGTCTGACCCCATCTTATTCTGTCCACAACTGACAGGGACAACTCTTTCCTTTTTTTTTCTTGCAACACTGGAATCCAATGAAACCAAAAGTCACTACAGTGTGCCTGTATGCAAAATTTCATGATTATTATATGAAAATGTTTCCATCAGAGTGATTTTTTAAATAGCATTCAGAAATCCGCTCCTAGCTGTTGGTAAATTTGTCCAGGCTCTTGGATATTTCCCCTTGTTATCTCTTCACTTGGCTTAATCCCTTATCTCTCATATCCCCTTCAGGTAATCTTGATTTATAGCATTCATTCCGCCCTGACCAATCTCTAATTCTCTCCGTTTCTGAAAGTGTTTTTATTGACTATCAGATTAATGGTACACCAAAAAAAGCTCATGATTCCCAAAAGTTTCCTGTTAATATTGTGTGATTTACAAACTGAAGGAGGGAGAGACACTCCTTCTGAGCACTGTGAAGTTTCCTTGTTTTATGAGAACCGAGCTTCAGCGTTAGTCCCCTGGCCCCGTCCTGCGATGTGCGTACACCATCTCCACTGCGAGAGAAGCTGGAGCACAGTGGCCCGTCACGGGCTTCTGAGTAAAGCCTCTGAAGAGCATCAACAGCCAGGTGATGGCAGCACACAGGTGCTGCTAAAATTCCGGTCGCTTGTTGAGAACAGGGAAATGAAAGGGACCGCTAATAATAGCCGCTCAGATCTACCCCCCCGTTACAGCTTACAGGATGCTGTCACACATATCATCACACTTGATTAGCACCACTCTCTGGGAGATAGGCCCGTTTTGTAAGCAAAAAATTGTAGCTCCAAGACATTATATGATTTATCAAGAGTCGCAAAGGTATGCCCTGACATGTGTCGCTCAGTCAGTTGAGTGTTGTCCCATGCACCAAAAGGTTGGGGGTTCAGTTCCTGGTCAGGGCACATACACAGGTTATGGGTTCGATCCCCAGTCGGGGTGCCTAGGGGAGGCAGCCAACTGATGTTTCTTTTTCTCCCTCTCCTTTCCTCTCTCTCTAAAATCGATAAAAGTTTGTTTTTAAAAAGTATTAACCATAGTTGTGCTAAAAACAGAGTTTGACCTCTGTATTGTGTCCATCTTCCTAGGTGTGTTCAGAAACTTCACTCCAGTTTTAAACAATTCAAGGCAAATTGAAACACTAAAACTACACTCTTCTACACAGTCTTTGCTATGAGCCTGTACAAATGTATTGAATTCATATTATGTCATAAACTTATTCATACATTAACTATCTGGAACATATTCAAATAAATCTTTGATAATACGCAGGTGAAAAAAAAAAATAATAATAATAATAGAGGGGATCAAAGGGGGGAAAGGGGGGACCTCTGTAATCCTTTCAATAATAAAGATAAATTTTCAATAAATAAATATAAATAAAAAATAATAATAGTCATAAAGAGGCACAGAGATAGATGTCACAGATGGGACTTGAACCTTGGGCTTTCTCTAAAGTTCCAGCTCCTACAAACAGCAATCAAAATGTCACCAACACTGGATCATCCCCAACCACTTAGGTAAAACACTGTCTACATCACCCACAAAGGAACAATAATAAGAGGAACGACCACTAGGGGTTAGAGACCCTGACAAAATTGTTAATAAAAACAAGGGTCTTTCTAATATCTCTTCCCCCTCACTCAGCTTCCTCTGAGAGGCTATGCACTGTCCTCAGGTGGACCTTAGGCTGTCAGAGCACCCTACTGAAAAGACGCACTCATGCTGGCCACATTCAGAGGGTAGGGAAGACACCTTGGGCTCAAATACATCCTTTTCAGCAAAATTTGCCCTGGATGTGCTACAGTTAATTCCCAAGTGCCTTTAAAAAGAACAATTTGAGAAAAACAAATTTTCCCCAAAAAATATTATTAATAATTGTGAAGACTCCTGTAGCACTTGCTAAAAGCAAGGCACTGTTCTAAGTGTGTTTAGTATATTAGCTCATTTAATCATCATAATAACCCTATGAGCTAAGTACATTTGTTAACCCCATTTTGCAGATAAGAAACATGAAGCAGAGAGGAGTTAATAACTTTCCAAAGGTTATACAGGCACTATGAACAAAGTAAAAATTTGGACCCAGAGAGTCTGGCTACCAAGTCTGGGTGCTAGCCCTTTCTATATAACTGCCTCTACTACAGCTATTGTCTACAACAGGTTTGTACATATTCTCAGAGGGATTCCAAGGAAGACAATGCCTTAGCCCAATAGATTTCAGGCTTTTTCTGTCCGAATAAACAAGAATACGACTCCTTCCATGCAGTAATTGCTGGGTTGAAACAATAGGGAATTTTAACACACTTAGGTTGTGCCCCCTCCCTCCCCTTTCATGAATAATTACTGTTTTCTGCTAAAACTCAAAGGTATGACTCTAAAAGCAGAATTTCAGGTTCTATGGGAGTGAGTACATCTATCTAAGAATTGTTGTGTGGGTACTGTACCAGTGCTCTTTCAGTCACAATGTAAGCCATCTTTTCCTCAAAACAGTCATCATTGGATCAAGATGGGAACCTTGATCATCTAGGCTTTCCCCTTCCTTACCATCTACAGAGACGTCCCCTGGAATTCCTCCAAACCTGTTCTCCAGTGAGTGCAAAATTATCAAAGATAGTCAAGGAGAGTAATGACAAGATTCAGTCTCTCTGTCTCTCTCTGTCTCTGTCTCTGTCTCTATCTCTCTCTCTCTCTCACTGTCCCTCTCTCTTTCTGGCTGTGTGTCCCACTAAGGATGTCTAGAATTGGATACTATTTGACAGCCAAGATCACATCCCAAGGTGATGCACTGTCACTAGTCCA